TGCAGAAGACTTTCACTTCCCGCGTGAAAATGTTTCATTTTTCCCCCAGGAACTTGCGGAATCACGCTCGTTTTTTTTCACTGGGTATAATAATAAAATTATTCTATTAAGGTCTCCCTCCCACAGAAATTGTCTCCGACACCGTACATCCGATCTTGACGAAACTTTCCCTAAATGTTAGGCACAATGAGTTACAGGAATGAAAGCATTTTTTTGTCTCCAAGTCTTATGGTTTAGGAGTTTTCCAGAGATCAAGGCCCAAACAGGACCCTCAAGCTTTTTCCAAGATTTTTTAATATACTTCAAACTGGAGAGTGCGGATTTGTTTTATTTTAAACTGGACACCTAGCTACATGTACTAACAGGTGCCGATTTTTTAATTAAGCCTTTGTTGGTTCTCCAGACAACCAACAACCTCCAAAATCTGAAAAAACCTTCCGAATTTTCTAAAAATCCTCAATTTAACAAAATACTGAGACCTAATTCAAAAATCGGCGCTGGTCAGTCCGTGTAATTTCTTTTCCTAAACAGAAAAAGAATAAACTCTCTACGACACACTGTTATTAAAAATCTTGGGAACCGCTTGAGGTGTAACTCTTATACGGCCATTCCAAATGTAACGGACTTACTCTTTTTTTCTGTCCGTGATGTTTTTCTCGAAGTCAAAAGAACTTGAGAGCTTGTTTCTACTATAGAATTGTACAGGACACCTAGCTCTATCAACGCTGAAAAAATGACTAGATTTCGTTGGAACGCTACTCCAGGCGAGACGAAATGCCGAGCGTAACGGACTTACAAAAAACAGAAGTGGACTTTGAAGTATCTGAGAAAAGTGAAAAGTTCAGCGAATGTCTACACTCACTATGGGATTATAACAGCTCATTTTGTAGCTCGGACTTCGAACTTCCCTATAGTGAAAACCAGAGTGAAAATGATCGCTTGGTCATGGAGAAATCTTCAAAACAAAAACGTAACGGACTTACACGTTTTTTGCACTTTTTTGGTTAAACTGCATCATCTTCGAATTTCAGTAAAAAACAGATCCCAAGTGTCTAAAACTAATTGAGAGTAACAACCAAACACTCCTGTTTATTGTCCAATCACCCGCTTCTTGAATAAAACACAAAAAAGTTCACGTTTTTCTGTTCGATCGATAAACAAATCTTTTCATTCTTTGCTATTCGAAAAGAATCGGCATTCGATGACATCTTTAGCAATGACTTCCAAACAATGTAGTTTCAACGTATTTCTGACAGCTTTCGCCGATTCAAAAATCGAATTGAAAATTAATTGAAAATTGCCTGTCATTATTTCTTTCCATACTGTTCTTTTAACCACTCCGCCTATCCCGTCAACGACACCTTTTCCATGGCTCGTTGCGAAAAAATGCCACGATAGTTCAATCTTATGATTATCCGACATTTGAGTCAAATTTCTGAATAAGTATCGCTGTTTAAATTGCGAAGCCGCTCCGTCGCTGAAAAGTTGGATTTTTATCAAGTTCGGCAACAATTCCTTCAGTTTGTTGAAGATGAAATCCAGTGAGGCACTGACAGCATATTTATCGTGGCTAATGTTATTTGATGGTAGTGCAAATGAAAATTTTTCATTTCCACACCATGCGTGCGCTGTAAATATTGAGATATTCGTTTTCGTCCAATGGCTCGATTGAGTAGCGTTTTGCTCATCTGTTTGGAATTCTCGGCATAGTCGACTTGGACAATGATTGATTAGTCATCGCTTTCTTCTTTCGATCGTTCAAAATATGTACTTTGCTGCCGTTTTGTCCAAACATGTGAAAGATATACTTCGATCTTTTTCGACAAATGTTCGACTAAATTTTCAACCGTGTCCTGTTTTTCATTCTTTGTTACTCGTCCTTTTTGATTTGTCCATTCAAGCCATTGGACTAGGACATTTTTGTTTACAATATTCTTTCGAATATTTGTATCGAAATTATCCCGGCATTTATGACAGATTGATGACATACAGCGTTCATCCGTTTCATCGCAGACGAGAGATGATGTCAATGTAGACAAATCTTGACAAAATGAACCGTTGATATTTCGGGATAATGAACGAATGATCAAATTCACATTTTCATGATAAATACATACACATACTCGATGTGCTAGCGTCGATTTGTACAATACATGTTCAGGACGCAAATTTGCAAAAGTCGAACGTGAGATCGACGTGCCTGGGTTGTCAGCGATAAACATTTGATGAACTTCCCGGATATCGTACAGAAGATGGCGTTTCTGAATTGTTATCTTCGTACCGTTCTGTCGGACAACAATTGTATCCCGTTTTCCTGGTGCTTGCCAAGAGATATCGTCACGTTGATATAGTTGGATTACGTCTTGCTTCGTCTTAACCGTCAATGTCGGTGCTGTTCGCTTATGTGTGGTTTTCGGTGTTAGTCCAAGTGTTTCACTAACACGTTTGATTATTTCACGTTGTTTAGAGATATCTTTTGGCAATGCTGTTATTACTTTCTTCAGCGCTTTCGAAAATGTTTGTTTCGACTTGTAGACTGGCGGAATGCTGGCTATATTTTTTGTTTTTCGATTACGATAATTCGCTTGATGTTTTTGTTCTGTTGTTGATAGTTCAATTTCTCTTTTCCCGTCAGATTTGAGCGAGCTACCTGTTTGCGAATTCGATCGTCATTTTTCTTAGCAGAAGCTAGTCCTTTTTGTTTTAAATTCTGTCGATACTTTCTCATTCGTTCTACAGCTGTCTTTGCCATTGCTGAAATAGTTATCTAGGAGAAGTAATTATAAAATTATTCTTCAGTCAGCGAAACCAATCTGATTGCAAGCAATCGCTAAGTCTATTTAGAAGCAAATTAAAATGAATCACTTTTACAATATCTCATTTACAATTGAAGAGCCGAATACTGAGTTTCGTCGGCTCAAAAGTTCTCTCAGATAACAAAATAGTGACTTGATTCTTTCAGGAATAACGATTTACGTTTAGTCTTGCTCGAAATACTTTAAGAACTTCAAGGATACTTCGCTTCTAGCAAGCACATTTCTACCGAATCGTTGGAAAATCATATCTGAAAATTATTGGATGCGCCCTATTTCTGTAAATGTTTTTAGCAAAACTGATAGAGAACAATTGTTTCCGATTATTTCAAATGTGTTCCTGGTTTTAGGATGGAATTTTAAGCAACTGATTATCAGTCCATTGGGTTCCAAGATCGGTAATTTTGGAAACGTACTTTTAAAAAATCAATTATTGTTATTACTTATCGAAAATATCTGAATTGTGCATTGTGTACAAAACTAAAAGCTCAACACAGGCATGCATTACACCTAGGTTTACCATATTTCGTTTATGATATAAACACAAATGCAGACTATCGGGCTTCCTATGTCATACGGATCGATGTGCAGCAGTAAAAAAAAGAAACTATTTCTGCAATATCGGTAACTAAGAATGGTCTGGTCTTTTTATTAACAACTTCCTAACATACAAACCTTACAATCTCAGATTAACAATTTTTAAAAACAGCAAAAAAATCAAGATGATATTTTTTGTACAACTGACCCGGCGTAAGTCCGTTACGTTTTTTCTCATGAAAGGAAACAGTTGAGTACAATGCAATAAATGCGTTGGATAGCCCGTCAAAACTTGTCTTTGCACAAAAATTTGGTGCCGACAGGGACGTATTGTTCCGGAGAAAATGTCAATATATCCTATTTTCGTAACGGACTTACGCGAGAACTGGTCAAGTTTTTTCATCGTTCGTCTAAGTAGTAAAAAGACTTTGTAAAATAGGAAAGCATTATAGGACCTAGTATAGCTTGCTCTCTTTCAGATGAGATATCCCGGACAGCCACAGATCTCAAAGTGACTGCTCCCAGATGAAAATGAAAATGTGTGTGACATATGGTGAGAAATGAGGAGTCATCGTCCAACTCTTCTTTTGTTTACAATTCTATTATGTGATATATTTCGAGAAGGAAAACACTTCTTTTCTACGTAAGGAAATATGCTTTACAAGATGGCGCTATTACTATCTGTATCAAAATATAATGGACTCCGATATTTTGCTTATAACTTTTTAACGGTGAATGCTACAGACTTGCGGTTTTCAGTTTCTGAAACTAGACACTGGGGCACGTAGATCTGTGAAAAGATCATGGCGTTCG